TGTGTTGAACATAGACGTTATAAGAAATACACATTAATATATCGTTAAAGGTAACGTAAAAAAATTACACGAGAGTGATCTCCCCTAAACTTTCTCGAATATACTTATCTCCGGGGGTGGAAACTCGGCGTATAGATATGATTTTCAATTAATTTTTTATTACTTAATCAAATTCTATGCCTTCTATCAAATTTTGAGTAGCTTCCGTTGACCAGAATTAGTAAATTTATAAAGTACTAACAATCTTCCACACTATTATGCAAATTTTTTTTGGCGTTCACTTGGAGTGCAATTCTTTATTCTACGAGATTCTATTCTATTTGAAACAAAATTAAGTAATTAAAAATCATTTCTATATCCGAGTTGCCGCCCCAGTAGTGTTATATAAGAATATTCGAGAAAGTTTAGGGAGATCACTCCCAGTTTATTTTCGTATGAGGTACAAATTAACTACTTCCCCAATATGTTGTTTATTAAATTTTGTTAGTGCCGTTGAAATACAATTATACTTTTTAACTCTAAAATTTAGATAAAGATAACTGATTTCCGTGTTTATTGGCATGAACTGAAGTTAATTTCAACGTAAATAAATGGGAATCAAAGTATGTAAGTTACGTTTAATTAACAAAATTATATTTAATTTGAAATTAAGAAACATTAAGCAAGACAACTTTCATTAAAATTTATTTATTTAATTCCAAATAAATGTTAATTAGTTATATATATATATATATATATATATATATATATATATATATATATATATATATATATATATATATATATATATATACATATTTATATTTATATTTATATTTATATTTATATTTATATTTATATATGTATTTAATTCCAAATAAATGTAACTTAGTTTCTATATATATATATGTATATATATATATATATATATATATATATATATATATATATATATATATATATATATATGTGTGTGTGTGTGTGTGTGTATATATAGTTTAAAATAGTAAACTTAAAAAGAACTTTAATGTAAACCTAACTACAAGTTAAAATTAGTTATAAACTAAAGATAATTCCTATTTTCAAAACAAAATACACCGCCTTTAAAAAATTATAGTTATACAATTATGTAGTAAGTTATTAAACAATGTTCTGATGTAGAAACATTGACTGTGTCTTTTAATGAATTAGAAATAAAACTTTATTGAAACACTAACATGAGCCATTTTACATTCTATCTGGTGGTGATATAGAGTCGCCTGGTTCCGAGATTTGTAAGGTCACACCCAAATGGACACCAACGAGCAGGATCTCAGCCTAAGACATGAAGAAAGCCACGGTACCAAAGGCCAGGACAACTGAGGTCAACTCCAGCAGAAGATCTGTAAAAACATGTTGATATTTCTACATAAACATGTCAGTGTTACAAACTACAAACTACACTTGAACGATCCCGGTGGTGACAAGATCTATGTTTGTTATATACGTTGGCTGGTGGGGTTTATTAATGTAGAGACTCTAAAGAGTCTTTAGGCTGGTAGGGTTTATTAATGATGAAGCTATTACTATTAGCAGTCTTTTTGGCGGTATGGTGTACTAATGTAGAAGCCATTACGATCTTTAGGCTTGTAAGGTTTATTAATATAACAGCCACTAGCACTCTTTTGTGTGTATTAATACAGAATGTACTAATAGTCTTTAGGCTGGTAGGGATCATTAATGTAGAAGCCACGATCAGTCTTTAGAGTGTATTAATACAGAATGTACTAACAGTCTTTAGGCTGGTAGGGATCATTAATGTAGAAGCCACGATCAGTCTTTAGTGTGTATCAATACAGAATGTATTAACAGTCTGTAGGCTGGTAGGGATCGTTAATGTAGAAGCCACTTGCAGTCTATAGGCTGGTTGTGTTATGGTGAACAGCTTATATACCAACAACAAAGACAACTTACCCGCCGCCCAGGACTTGGATCTGTTCGTAGATCTTTGAGACATAACAATATGGCCACGAGCTGTATTAAGACAATATTTTAATCCCACGTGATGCCTGGGGTGTTGTGATGGTTTTTTTAAGAGGGAATTTGTGTGTATCCAGGCTACGCTAATAAGGTCACAGAACCAGGTGAACGTCACTCCATCTTTCAGTTTTGGACTAGCATGTCCAAAAGATCAAACTTATTTTTTTAAGTTCTAATAAAGTTTTTTTTTGCACTATTAATAACATAACACATTAACCAGAGCTAAACAAAAATATACAGAAAATGTTTTCACGAAATTCATAAGAACAAGCAACATTTTTCACCACAATAATTTAGATTAAAATGCTACATGTAATACATAATTCCTGCTCTCGGTGATTTTGGCTATTTAGATATATATATATATATATATATATATATATATATATATATATATATATATATATATATATATATATATATATATATATATATATATATGTATATACACATATACGTATACATATATGTATATATATATAGCAATGTGTGTTTGTCTGTCTTTTATGCATTATTACACCTTTCACCCGATCGCTATGAAAGTTTGGGAAGTTGTTGAGAATTTGCTTTTGCGGCTTTTGCGGGAAAAAATGTATTTTCTCATGAGCGGCGGCCCGTAATTTTACATTCCTGAGCCAACCCATCCCAATGGGTGCATAACTTCAGTTAGGTAAATCAAAGGTGAACTTATCACATTATAAACCATATGCCATCGATTAAGCATGGTCATTTACATAATTATATTTCGTTTTTCTAAATTGCATCATTTATGTAATTTACATAATTCATCTGCTTGTTCGCTTTCGCATTGAAGTATTCTTCATCGGCTAGTGACTACTGATAAAGATTTAGGACAGTAATATAAATAGGCCTTTTTTACATGTGCTTTATATAACTAAAAATAACTTCTATTTAACGAATTCAAAACGTCTAATTTTAATACATGTTAAAACTGAACATTTGAATAATTTATTAATTGGTGAAAGTTTTATATAAAGCTGGAGGGTTAAATAAAACTCAAATGTAAAATCATTACTTTAGGTAGTTAGTAGACTTTTACAACATTCGAATGACGTTTTTTTTGTTAAGATATTTTTACAAAAATTAAACACGTTTATATATAAGAATATGTGGCATGTGGTCAGTTCTAACAGTCTTCAGTGGTTTGGCTGAAGGTAACACCGTTTTTTTGTGACGCTGTGGTCGATGTACAAACAGTATTTCTTCCAGACTTTTTACTCCGGGGGGGGGGGCACTTGAAATTTTCGGGGGGGCGGTAGACTTTCTTCGGGAGGGGGGGGCGGGACACTGTTAAAAGTATATATTTTCTATATAAATTATATAAATTTCATTTCGTTGGGGGGGGGGGGGGGGCGGTAAAAAAATTTCGGGGGGGGGGGGGGGGGGGGGGGGGGGGGGGTAAGCCCCCCGAAGAGATGCCTGGAAGAAACTCTGTGTACGAACTATTAAATTAACAGCGGGTTTCGACATGTGGAGTTCTTTTAATATATAGCTCATTTGAGGTAATGTTCAGTGGTGGTCAGTTTTGACCCAAGTGTCATTGACTTTGTGACCAACAGGCTTTTGCTCCCGTTTACGCGAACATCTGCCAAATTTTTAAAAAGCTGCTGCACCGGCGAGTGCCCTAACCAGAATCTGAACTCTTTCCTTTTTAAATAGGAAAGAAGCTCTAAAAACTAGGAAATGAATTATTTTCTTTAAAGATAGAAAACACAGTAGTCTTTAAATAACTATAAAGAAAAGCGGGGGTGAATATATTATCTATTGAATACCTTAACTTAAATGGCATAAGCTACCTAAGCTTTACTTTATAATTATTATAATCTAAATAGTAATGCATTATTTCATATTTAAAAAAACATTTATTTCCTACTTTTTATTGTATAGTTAAATAAATGTTTGTTATAAATTTTGTATATAATATATTTAGCAAACTTACCAAAAATATCCTTGAGATAAATTGTGTTGTAAGTCTGAGGTGGAAAAAATCTTGGTTTCGTTCTATCTCCTCCATCCCAAACAGCACGGAATATCATGTTAGGATTTCTAAAATAAAAGGGGTCTATCAAAGCAAACCAGCGCATCGGTTCAGTGTCATCACAGTAGCAATTGGAATCGACATATTTTTGTTCTATTTGATCACTTAATTTGCAGCCGTCTGGTTTGAAGACTTGCTTTCCAAACCAGCAATACTTGAGAAAAGATAATACAAGAAAAAGTATAGTGCTTTAATGAAGCGCATTTATTTTATTTTAAAAGCAAGAATCGACATCTAAAAAATATTTACACTTTATCAACCATGGCATCATATTTCATTTTAAAAGCAAAATAAAAGGAGTTTGAAAAGATAGTGTGGTAACGCGCCAGAGTAAAACAACGGCTCATTCCTTCCCCCCCCCCCCCCCCCACCCCCTCGGAGAAGGTCTACCCTTCCCCCCGAACTAAATGGAATTTATATAGAAAATATATACTTTTAACAGTGTCCGTCCACCCCCCCCCCCCCACCCTGCCGACACGAAATTTTTATCTCGCCCTCCCCCCCCCCCCCTGTAGAAAACACTGAAAACAACTTTTCGTAAATGCTTTAAGGGGGAAAGGTGGCAACCCCAGCACCGTTCCATTGCTAAATCCGGATTAATGTATAGATCCCATATTAATCTTTTAGAAAAACCAACGAATGGCAACGAGATAAAAAGTTATAATCAGTAAGTGCAGCAAGGTTTCTTGTACAAACTAAAAAACAAATATTTAGCTCAAAAATAACTTGTTCTTAGATACATATCTTCAACTTGTCACCAAATATCATAGTGTGTAGAAACTTCATCCGAGGTTATATGCTCCTAAAATAATTTAAATTTTATTTTCTGGAACATTTCCAAAGATACTCTATCTGCGATAGTGAATATGTAAAACGTTATTTTTTTTTAAAACTATATTATTTTTTTTTTCATAATTAGAGAAAATGTATTAATTACCGCAAACCATTTTTTCCAATTGGCATAGTCTTCGCAGCCGGAATCGCAAAATGAGACTTCAAAAGATGGTTGAGGTCGTTTGTACGCGGGATCTGGCGTTATTATGTGCCACTTGTCCTTTGGTAGATAAAACTTGCCATAGACTATCAGTGGATCCCTCCCAAACACCACACACCCTGGACACCGGGGTAGGTAGCCATCTATTGTAGTGTTGATTCCATTTGCTCTTTGAAATTCAAGAGAGTTCTGATCGGTTTCGCTTTCTTAAGACGGACATTGAAAAAAATGACACGTAAGTTAAACAGAGAAAACGTAGTTGTAAATGATGTATGGAGTTAAACTGGACATGTCATATGCTAAAATATATATGAGGATAAAGTTAAACATGTCAAATGCTAACATATGTAATGGGTAAAGTTATATGTTAACAGATGTGTGGGGTTCAGTTAAACGTGTCATATGCGTCCAGACGAATGGAAATTAAGTCGAACATGTATACTAACTAGCTTATTATTTTTTATGTTTTTATATTTGTTTTATTCTCTTTAGCACAACTGTGTCGAATTATATACGAACCTAAATAGCGCAATGGATAATAAATGCTTAACTAAAAATCTTTCGCAATGTTAATACAATTATTCATAGCTTTAAATTAAACTCTGTATAGCATAGTGCTACATCAATGGAAAAAAAAATCAAACTTTTTATTGCAAGTTTTCATATTTCCTTTGACTATGAATATATATATATATACATTACATTTTTTATCATATAAGTATCATTTTATCAAAATCATAACAGAAAATATATTATAGATACATTAATTTACCTGTAACGATAAAAAACACACTCAGAATCAGAGTAGCGAAAAGCATTTTTCAAACTCCGACAAGTGACTTGTTCTATGGCTGGGTTGGGAAAACAATGCTGAAAATTTAAAATAATTTCGTTATCAGTTGTTTGCGTTTGGTCGTCCGTAGAAAACATTGATCTCGCCTCCAGCAGAACAGACTTTTTATTTGGTTTTACTTCCAACAGAAGACATTCATAAATAGCTACATAGCTGTTCTATTTTTAACCTCTCTCAAGCAATCGCCATTACCAGTGACTCCACTACTTAAACAGATTAATTCCGCCTCAGTGGCGTAGCTACTGTAAGGCTAGCGTAAGCCAGGCATAGGAGCCTAAAGGACGTAGGAGCCCTTTTCACTATTTTAAAAAAAATAAAACTTTTACATTGGAATTTAATATTTATTTGATGTAAGTCCAACATGTGTCAATGTTTTTCTACTTACTTTTGACATTTCATTTGTTGATCTCATTAAACTTTAATCAACACGACGCTACTAACACTACTAATTAGTTTTCGGGTTTCATCTAATCGCCAAGAAACTTTGGGAATTCGTTGAGAATAATCCAGGCAGTGTTTTATTTCCAGACATTTTTTTCTGAAAAGGTGCCTGAAAGAAACTCAGACTTTTGATAAGGTTTCTGCCATTAAATTTTTATTATTTCAGATGGCGCGCCCCGCAGTAAGGCGGTGCCATAAGCCACCCAGACTTTCACAGCGGCTATCTTTGTACCTGGAGTTCGTTGATTGGGTGTCCGGGGCAGCGTTACTACTTGATACGGCGCATATAATCGTTTTAATGAGTGACCTACACTAGGGACACGGAATAATACAAAAATCGATTACTAAATCGAAAAATGGTTGTCCTCAGCCATAGTTACCCAAAGGCTACCTGAGAGCAAAGGATCCGTTGATTGCTTGTCCTGCAGAGTCAGTGGTACTACTTGATTCAACGGTCAAACTGCACTAGGGGCGGCTTTCGACGCCTCTGGCGTACGGATGACACTAATCACACGTGTATTCTACACTATGTACTCGACGGATTTAATACCTTGGCGGTGACAGAAAGATATTCAACCTCATTATTACGGAGGATGAAACTTTTACAAATTGTTTCGTTACTCTTTTATGTAGGACAAGATCGCAGCAACGCGGACGGGTGAGCTAGGTGTTATAAGCATTCTTTCACGGTGATCGGGAAGGAAATTTGTATGTCTTTCATGTATTTTTTAAATCCCATTATTTTTTTTCATTATGTTCATGTTAATTTGTTATGAAACAAATTGTAAATATGGCCAGTGGGTCAGGAACTTAGCCATCCTAAGAATCGAACATTCAGAAGCAGCTAAAATGAATCTCAAGAAACTTATTATTAATTTTGCAAAATCCAAAGCTTGAAGAGAAAAAAAACAAGTATTTTAAATTAACCATGTACAAAATTAAAGAATTGTTTTAGGTTAGTGGCGTCACAAGGTCAGGTGTGTGTTGCCGTGCTCGTTTACAAAAGGTATCGCCCCATTAGCATTATCTGTGAGGAGTCACCTCTCTTTCAATAATCTTTTATTATTTTAGCTTGATACAACATAGTTTTGACAGTAAAGTTTACAATGTTATGTCATGGTTTCACGCTTAAATGTTGTCATCAGCCCCCCACCTTGTGACGTAACTGTGTTTGGCTACTTAAAAAAATTAACTTTAAGGCTATAACATTTTTACAAAACTAAGGGGTAGTTGGCCTACATATTAATATAGTATACATGCACAATGAGGAAGTATAAAAGGCAAAATGTACAGAATATTTATCTATATACTACTAAGCTCACGTTTGTTTACATGTTTGTATATTTATTTGGTTTTTTATTCGTTTTTTTTCTTTGTCTGTTTGGTTACAGGAGAGAATCTGCACTATATGTACGGATGTAAAATAGTATTTAGTTAGAGAACAATGTTGTTTGTGACCAAACTGTCTATCACAAATTAATTTAAAGACGTTAATTAATTTATTTAAATATTCGTTGATAGATTAACCACTTTAATTATAAAAGTTCAGAACAATGACATTACTTATAGTGACGTTACATGATTTTTTTAAAATAACAATAATAATCATTAAAAAAGTTTTAAAAAACCCACGTTTTCTGATTGAACTAAAAAGTAGAAAATAAATGCTATACATCACAATAATGCAAGCGATCCCTCTACTATAAGCGATCAAAAACGTGGGGCGCCGAAGTAAAAGTTATATTACTATTGATTAGATAATACTATTGACTTTTATTAGGGAGCTTGTAGAGAGTCAACAGAATTAGAAACTGTAAGAAAATCACGGCGCCCCACGTTTTTGATCGCTTATAGTACACCCCCCCCCCCCCCCGTGAAAGCAGCCTCCTCTTAGTTACCTCCTGTAAGTTTAAAGTCGGTTCAAATGTAATTATCTGCCCCTAATAGTCGTCACTAAACCTGGCTGTACGGTTTGTAAACATTAACGTGACCACAGCTCAGCAGACCATGTGGGGGTGGGGTAGGGTGGTAGTGATAGTGATAGAGAGAAAGAGAGGGGACTGTAAGGAGGCGCTTGCAGCTTGTTTTCTAACGGCTCGCAGAGGAGAATTATATATATAGATTATATAGCGGTCTAAAATGCTCAATAAAATAAAATGTTTCAATGGATCAATTTAGTAATAATAACAATTGAATATTCTACTGTCATCCAAAACAAAGCTTCCCTGAAAATTTCAGCTCGCTAGCTAACTGGGAAGTGCCAGAAATTTCGATCGCAAGATTTGATTGGAAAGACAGAGACAAAAGCAAGTTATAGAAAACGTGGGAAAAATGGCAGCTTCCATACAAGATTTCGTTGCCCATTCAAAAGTATAACGCATTATAAAATTGTTGGCTATAGCTTTAACGATACGTTTGTTTGCTATTTTTATTAGGTCCCAACACTATTATCAGTTTTCAACAGTTATTCTAATTTGATTATACAATACATTTCTTTAGATATATAGATCTAGATCAGCGGTTGAAGGAAGGAAAAATCCTAGATCTAGAATCTAGGTCAAACCAAAATTAATAAGTTAAAAATAAAAGCCATTTTAAAATCACAATCAATCTTTGGATTTTTTTTATTAAACTATGTTAGTCCTTAAATATTTGATATAAATCTTCACTTTTTAGCTTCAATGATCATCTTATTCGAGAATACATGGGATTTATCTATTTAGGTTCTAGATCTTGAACTACGGCAAAAAACTAACACGTAAATTCTACATCTAGAATCTAGATCTAGAATCTATTATACTAAACTATTTCAGACCTTAATTATTTTATATAAATCTTTGTTTGTTTTAGCAATGGAATTTGCTAATTTCGGATAATATTTAATTTGAAATAATACTATGACCAATTCGCGTAGATGAAATTTCCTATAGACTAAAAGTAAAATATATAGATCTAAGTAAATAGTCCCTGATATAAAATCTTTACTTTTAACTTCAATGATCATGTATGTACTCGAGGGTACATGGGATTTACCTATCTGGGTTCTAGATCTAAAGCAACATAAAAGACTAAATTCTACATCTAGAATCTAGATCTAGAATCTATATACTAAACTATTTCAGGCCTTAATTATTTTATATATATCTTCTTTTTTTTCTATGGAATTGGCTAATTTGGGATAATAGTTAATTAGAAATAATACTATGGCCTATCTGCGTAAATGAAGTTTCCTAGGCAGACTAAAAGTAAAATATCTATGTAAATACGTCACTGATTATAATAGCCTCGATAGCTAAGGTGTTCGTGTATTAGGGTTACCATGCGGGTGGCACGGGTTCAAGACACATCATGGTAACGTTAATTTTTTATTTTTATTTTTGTTTAGATGTGAATGATAAAGTTGCCTAGCGGAACTTGGCTGGACACTGGGCAGGTGAAGTAGAGTTGGGTAGGTGTAGAGTTCACCTGTGACGTCAGCATATGAAGGGATAGTGTAGTCAGACCAATGCTCAGCCGAAATCGGTGTTTTAAAAGACAAAAACATGTCTGAGTTGGGGGAGACACTGGGCAGGTGAAGCACAGTTGACCTGTTTTTGTGACCTCAGCATATGAATGGATTGTGTGGTCAGACCCATGCTCAGCCGAAATCGATGTTTTTTAATAAAGACAAAAACGTCTGGGGTGTGACGTCTTTTTATTGTGAGGTCTGGTTATTTTGTGATGATAAGTGACAGACGTGATGTCATTTACGGATGACCCCCGAAACCCACAGTTATCTAATGATAACGGGATATCTAGTATTATTTAAAACCCTTTACCATAGGTGGCAGTTGGTTTTTTTTTCGTTTCAATGGCTTACAAAGGGGCCTGCTGAGAATTTTTGCATAGGGGTCCAAAAATCCTAGCTACGCCACTGTTCCACCTCCGTAATCTCATGCGTAATTGCAAGTGTATGATAAGTCGATTTCTTCTGATCCAATGTAATAATACTTCCAATACCTGCGCCCCTTCAATTCACCAAAAAACATTACATTACCGTTTCTTCAAATAGTTAGGCTATTTATTAGTTATCTGTACTTCATTAAATCAAGAGCAGAACATCGTTACTGTAATTAACAGTTCCTTAATACTTTAAATACCCGTTTTCTAATATTAATTACCTTTTCTACGATACTTTTAATCCCTGTACATCAATGCTTTAAATATACGTACTTAGATCTGTATCAACTAAGAGATTTTCTTTCATGAATCCACTGTTGATGTTTATCCAAATGCCATAGCCTAACAAAGCGAGAAAAGGAAGTAGAATTATTTTACACAGAGCGACGTCTTCCAATTGCAGCAAACAATTGAAAAATATATGGTGTTGAGATTACAAAAAAAAAAAAAACAAATATAAAATTTCTTTATATTTTAACAAGCTTTTAAAGGCACCGTAAAATTCATATAAAACGTTTTAATAATAAGCTTTTATATAGATGTAATTATGCACTAAAAAGAAGCAAATAAATTGTTTTCTTTAAATATATAATAATACACTACTATTCGAATAACTATTTTAAAAAGCGTGGGTCACTTTATTATCTATTGGATACATTTTTTAATTCATAAAAAAATAATTAGGAATCCAATTAAGTCAATTAAGTCAAATTTAATAACATATTGCGTTGTGTTCATGAGTCTTGACCACGTGCCAACTTTAATAATAATCTGTCAGTGTCCGAAATTTTGCTTAATTGAGCGTTTCGATCTATGAAGACAGATAGACAGTCTGAATGAGGAAGCAAGTTCAAATAAAATTAATCTGCCTTCATTCTTTTATATATTTTAGCGACTTAAGATTGTATGCAAGAATGTAGATTCGTTTTATCTTCTTATTTTCAGTGTATTTAAAAGCTTGTAGTTATAAAGATATTTTTATATTTGTTTTATTTTCTACTTTTGATATCTGAAAGACGATTATCTGCCTTGTGAATGCATCCGTAAGTGTCCACAATTTACAGACATCAGCAAGCTGATATAGTGAATCATAATTCTTAATCTTACTACCTCCCCTTAGTTTTAAATCGTTTTAAAAACTTTTTTATCTGCCCCTATTAGCCTTCACTAGATCGATCGACTCTACGATTGTAAACATTATCGTCATCGCGTCTAGCTACTTAATCTCCTCTTCTATTATTGAATATGAGCTGACCCGCGACGTAACATCTAGTTGTTTTTTTTCTGCTTATCATCAATTGTAAATTCAACACTATCCCCCCTCCCCCCCTACCCCCCCCCCCCCCCCCGCCCAGTGAAAGCAGTCATTTACAGACAATGAAAATATCAATCAGAAATTGTTACCTCCCCTTCGTTTCAAATCGTTTAATACTAAATTATCTGCCCCTAATAGTCGTCGCTAACCTGGCTCTACGATTGTAAATATTCGGGGTGAACCACAACTCCCCTGACTGGTGGGGATGAGGGTGGTGGCTAAGCTGCGTGATGTTTTTTATGGTCCCCATGAAGAGAATTATATATATATGTTACGGTCAAGAAAGAGAGGGGACTGCAAGGAGGTGCTTGCAGCTTGTTTTCTAACGGCTCCCAGAAGAGAATTATATATATAGATCTAGATAGATAGTAATCTATCAAGTGATTTAATTTTGTTATCTCCCTTTAGTTTTCGACCCCGTTTAATTAATTTGTTGATGATTAACTAAACATCTAATTAAATTAAACAATAAAAAGACCTGTCTTCGAAATGAAACATATCTGGATTGTTTGAACGAAATCGCTGCATTAGAAGTGGTTCAAAATTGAGTTGCAAGATTTGAAACGAGCCCATAAAGAAGCAAATAAACAAACAGACGCTGTGAACTAAATAAAATCTTGTAAAAATAAATAATAAAACTGGTCATCAGAATCAATAACCAGCTCACGCCTATACAGCTAAAAAGAAAAAGACGCGAGAAACAAACAAATTCACAAATCTGGGAAGCATAATCAACAAGGATGCTGGAGCAGACGAGGACAAAAAATGGCGTGTCAACAAGGCAAGATGTACCTTCAACTCACTACAACTGATATAGAGATGCACAACCTTGTCAATCTTTAGCAAGATTAGAATCTTCATCACAAATGTTAAGGCAATTTTGCTTTATGTCTCAGAGACCTGAGGTTACCAAGGCAAATATAGGCAGGCTTTAGACGTTCACAAACAGATCCTCAAGATAAGATTGCTGTACACATGTCAAATGAAGACCTATAGCAAACCACTAAGTGACAGCTAATTGACCCAATTATAGCCCACAAATGGGATGGATCGAGAATATTCTACTAGGGAAGAGCATATAATATCCAGTTAGACTTGGGGAAGCGGGCCTGCCAATGCAATCCTGGAGAAGAACGGTAAAAGCAGAGGCAAAGGCTGATGGGCTTACGTGGGCGGAAATAAAGAGAACTGCACAAGACCGAGCTCGGCGGAGATTTGTGGCTGCAGGGCTTTGCTTCTCGGGGGTTAAAAGTCAAGTACTTCGATGAAAATAAAGTATCTTGATAAACACAAGTAACAATTTTTAATCAATAATCAACAAAATAAATTATTATTTACAAGACTAATTACAGTTTAATGGACATAATAAAGCTAAAAGTTCATTTTAAAAATATATAGTCAAACAATGGTAATCCTAAACATAAGCAGCCGCAACACCAACACTAACACGAGAAAACAAATTAAAATTTAACGTAGCCTACTCAAATGGTAAATTATATACAAATGGCAAATTAAAATATATTTACCCCTCACAATAGTATTATATACATTAAGCAGGAAATATTTACAAAATGATCTGATGACTATTCCAACGGTGACCTGCTTAACAATTCTTTTCTAAATATATAATCTAACATACATGTTTATTTTTGCAAAAATTGAGAAGTAGTTTTAAATGAAACAAAAAAATATCCAATCTAACTTTCTGAATTTTTTAAACAAGGGAAATGAGGTTATTTCTCTTCCATCACGACCTTCTCAATCTTTGGTTTTTCACATTCTTGTTTCTTGGTAGCTCCCTTCCTGACCTTCTGCTCCACTAACGACCTCCTCGCTTCCACCGTCCACTTGCACGTGCACTAAATCCACACAGCCCAAATCCTTTTCCTGATCGATCTGCTCTTCTATCCCCCTATCGTGAACATCAGCATGACTTGTTGTCTCCAGTCGAGTACTTACTGCCGTGGACCTAGTACTGCGCGACTGGATCTCTAGGTCATCAGTTCCTGAGGAGAGATGGATTCAGAAATAAAAGTTTAAGTAATAACTTAAAATTAGATGCTAGCTATATTTTAATGAAAAACTAATTAAAGTATGTACTTCACACGAGCGAAGATTGTTAAAGCTGTAATAGCTCACTTGAATTATTAATTCTGTTTTCCCTGAAGAAAGTGGGGGTGGGGGGGGGGGGGGGGGGTGGGAGGAGACGCTGGTTAAAGTATAAATTATTCCCTGTATCTGCTCTTTAAGACACACTGTTACCAACCTACTACCATAATCCATACACCATTACCAACCTACTACCATAATCCTTACACCATTACCAACCTACTACCATAATCCTTACACCTTTACCGATCTACTACCATAATCCTTACACCATTACCAACCTACTACCATAATCCTTACACCGTTACCAACCTACTACCATAATCCTTACACCGTTACCAACCTAGTTCCATAATCGTTACACCGTTACCAACCTACTACTATAATCTTTACACCGTTACCAACCTATTACAATAAACCTTACATTGTTACCAACCTACCACCATAATCCTTACATCGTCACCAACCTACTATCATCATCCTTACATCGTTACCAACCTACTACCATAATCCTTATACCGTCACCAACCTACTACCATAATCCTTACACCGTTACCAACCTACTACCATAATCCTTACACCGTTACCAGCCTAGTACCATAATCCTTACATCGTTACGAACCTACTACCATAATCTTTACACCATTACCAATCTACTACCATAATCCTTACACCGTTACCAACCTACTACCATAACCCTTGCACAGTTACCAACCAACTACCATAACCCTTACACCGTTACCAACCATCTACCATAATCCTTACAGCGTAAACAACCTACTACCATAACCCTTACACCGTTACCAACCTAGTACCATAATCCTTATACCGTTACCAACCTACTACCATAATCTTTACACCGTTACCAACCTACTACCATAATCCTTACATCGTTGCCAAACTACAGTTGGAACTAGATTATATCTGTTGTCTAAAATGTTCTACTTTTTTAGAATTTTTCGAAGTCTGACCAACCTGGAATGACTTTAAAAATTTCCTAAAATATTTAATTTATTTTATTTTTTTACATTTATCTCGCATGAGAATGCTATGATTGTAGTCCCAATCATAGGAACCACGAACAAATTATTTTAATTACATATATTGCGAATTATTTTGAAGTCCTACCTCTGGTGCACACCACACAAACCATCAAGAGAACAAATATAATGACTCCTCCAAAGACACTCATCAATGGTGCAAACCATCTAGGTAGTGCATCACGCACTGGAAGAGTAAAATAAACCGGGAGTGATCTCCCCCTAAACTTTCTCGAATATTCTTATATAAAACTACGAGGGATGGCAACTCAGGACATAGACAATATTTGTAATCCATTTTTAATTACTTAAACTTTTTATAATAGAATAGAATCTCGTAAAAAAAACGAATTGCACACCAAGTGAACGCCTAATAAAATGTGCATAATAGTGCGGGATATTATTAGTACTTTATAAAGTTACGTGCGTTTTTTGAGAAATCGGAAATAGCTTAAATTAGTACTTCCGGTCAACGGAAATTACTCAAAATTTGGCAGAAGGTAGAGAATTAGATTGTTTACTTTCATGTGAAATTTCATTTATCTATCTGAAATAGTACTCAAGTTATAGGGATTTGAAAAATTCAAAGTAGAAAAAGTACCACTTCCGGTTATCGGAAATCGCTCAAAAGTTGATACGGACCTACGATTTTGATAAAATACATATATATAAAATTTAATCAACCTAGCTGTAACGGTACTCAATTTATCGTGTTTACACACGGACACACAGACAACGGACATAATTGCAAAGTCCAGTTTTTACGACTCGATAACGCATAAAACGCCAAAATGTTTATATATTTGTATTTATAATTTTTGCCTGATTAAAATAAGTCCTCTATACTCCGGATGCGATG